TTCACTCACTTTTACTTAACAAATTAAATCTGTAATCAACCAAGAGTCCCTTATTATTGTACGCAATTACCGACATCCTTTAACATGTTAGCTTGGATTTGGCCTTTGCTCCCAGCCACACGCGGAGGCGATGTGCAACCCGAGTTATCATGATCATGGTCAGTCCTTGGACCAGGATAACTCACGTCATGTATCTGAACAAACACATGAAACACTTCCACGCAGACTATTGTGCCACATGTTTTAAAGAATTTAACGAGCTGCAGTGGAGAGATGTTAACTCCCTCGCCTGGTATGAAGGAGGCCGTGGGCTCGATCCCGACCCCGACGCCTGCTGCTGTATATTTGGAGTTCGCGTGTTCTCCCCATGGTGGCATGGATTTTTCTCCGGGTACTCTGGTTTTTCCCACCACACATAGAATCAACATGCGTTTAGAGTATTTGACTACTATACATTTCCACATAAGCCACTTTGTTGAGCTATCATTTGTGGCCAGGTCACTTCTGAAAAAGAGCTGTATAGATCAGTGGGCCTTACCTGGTAAAATAAAAAAATTGTCTAGTTTAGTTAGCACAGCGCAAGTAACTACCAACTATTCACTGCCCACCACCAGTGAAAGGAAACCATGTTCTAAAAACACAAGACTTCCTTGTCACTGTTATATTTTCTGCCATATTTAAGTGTCGCTCTCAGCCCTTACAATGAGATTACTTCGACCCAATTAAAACTTTCATTCAAGTTGCTTTCAAATAATTAATGCGTAGTTCTCCTTGAAAAAGTGCCAAGTAAAATATATTGAACGCACCAGTAAAGTGTGTTCACGCAACGACCGTCAACAAATGCCAGCCAAAAGAGTGGAACCAAAGACCACATTAATGTAGTACAAAATTATACCATTTGCTGTTGTAATGAACGGGTGCGAAGCTAAGAACTGGTGTACTGCACTGGACTTTCACACCGGCAAATGTCAGATACTGGCTCAATGGAAGTGTAATATAATTTTTAAATATGCATTTGTGTTCCTGCGCGAAGACGCAGAGATACAATGCTTCGAATTGCATTGAGAGACAGAGAGGAACACTTGGGAGTAGAAAACACACGGGAGGGTGAAGGCACAATTTAACTGTTAAAAAAGGAAGCAGCCTTGGGCATCACTAGGATGATGGCAGATGGTCAAGAAAAGTTCAATAATGGCAGCCAATGAATAGAACGCGTCATAGAGAGTACGTCAACAAAAGACATCAGGAGATGGAGCGATGAAATCAATGCCTGTGCAGGTTCTGGGAGGATGTTGCATTGCATTACTGGGAGAGATGGCAACAGCTTCGTAAGACCTTAATCCAACAGTGGATTTATAATGGCTGATGACGAGGATGATTGTTAATATAACGTGTTAAACATTCATGTACAGTTATACGTGCCTGGCTCTGTAAAAGCGCAATCAATATGCGATCGTGCATGCATACGCATGCGTAGTTACCGTGACATCCCTGTGAAGTCACACATGTCCAGCTCAGATCTTGAACGTACAACTTCCCAATGGAGGCTAAAGGGAATGGCATCTCGATAAACGACTGCCTCTCCTCCTCGTGACTCATGTCATTCAGAACACACAACTATCAGACAGGAATGCGTTTTGGAAACTACACGGAAATTAGGACAACCGACACATCACTTTGTACACATGACATGTACATCTTAAAGGTTTGCAAAATACCTATCTGTATTTAGCACACATCTTGGCAACATCCCCGTTTCTGCATTTCCTCTTAAGTTTTACCGTAAAGCCTATGACACTTCAATAGTTCTGTTACTGTTAAATAACTGAAGTAACATTTGGATCGATATTTGCCTTTTCACAACCGTTTCACGCCTACGCTTTGCGCTCTTCCTGTGTTCCACATCATGTTTTTGCACGCAAGTCGATTTCCTGCATGCCACCACGCTCCTGCGCCCAAGGTGATCTTTTGAGAGGGACATGACAAATTACAGTTTACTCACAATATTCACCTTCACTAGAGGATTAATCATCAAGAGCCATGGTCAATCCACTGCTGGATGCAGGCCACCACCACCTTTCACTAACCTGCAATGTAATAATCCACTTGCACATGAACGGATTTTAACTTCCTAATTCCTTCCATATTATTTCCCAAACTCGTATAAACTTTGATCAATTCAGGAAAACGTACTATTGCTAAATTTAAACTAAAAACTAGTTTTTATTTTTACCAGGTAAGGCTCACCGAGCTATATACCTCTTTTTCATTTGTGACAAACTTCCACCGTGGAATACCTAATGTGTGCATGATGCAAATAGACTGTACAGGCAGTGCTACAACACGCAGCATATTAGAACTGCCAATACCAATCCATGACCTTCTTTAACGCTGGGCACACATTGGGGTGATTAGGGACAGCGATTCCTGGGATTTATAAAATATAACACTGCTTGTTTTTTTTATTAAACGAGTAGACATTCACTGACAAAAAGCAACATTCACGGCTGTAACAAACTTTGGCAAAATACTGAGAAAAATACTAGTTAAGAAAATCGTCTCAATTTGACTATAAGATATTTTCACGATCAACACTTACACTCAAAGTCTCTCCCCCTGTGCATTCAGTAGTGGAAATTAAACATTGCTCCGATGGGGGTCCCGTATCTCCTATAGCAACCACCACTGTTCAATTGCCACAAAGTGGTGGAATTTTAGCCACCCCAAAGAGCGCGCTGACTCTGTGAACGCCGCGTCTCATTGCTCCACGCATGCGGGGGGTGGGGGGGGCACAATGGACAAGGGAAATACATTTGGGGCACCGTCGAAGCAACGTGGGAATTCCACAAGCGCTCACGCCCAGTGGAGATAACCCAAAGGGCGCCGTTTGGTTTTGTGGCATCAACAACGATGCGGAGACGTCGCGGTTCATTCACAAACGGAATGAGTGAGGGGGTGTTGGTGAAGACCACGACTGCTGTTCGGTTAGTTATCGATTAATAGAGGTTGTGATTATTAGTAACGATTGATGTTATTATTTGGTGCCATGGCTGTTATTTTTTTCCGTATTCGTGACTGCATTCGTTAATGAGCGTCACTCTTCAGCGAGTGTTTGTTATTAGTGATGTATGTGATTACGAATTGCATGTTTTAGTTGTTGTTATAATCTTTGGTACCGTCAAATGTCGGTGACTGATCGTGATTATAAATGGTTATCGGTGTCACTGCTCTCAGACAGTGTTGGAATCTCTGTTGCCATTATTTCGCCTGCATTTCATGTGGAAATTGAAGCAGTCATCCAAGCTCTCAAAACAAGGCAATGATAAAAAAAAACCCCCACTATATTATCAACCCATTTATTAAAGACGGACTGCTAAAATTAGGTTTCCCGGAGTGCGCTAAAACACAAATCATACGAGGCACGCTCAACCATGGTTATTTCCAATAAAAGGAGACACGAAACTTAGAAAGTTCAATTATAGGTTTAAACGTAAATGTTTTCCATGTTATACTTTCTGATGAGCTATTTTAACAGACAGTGAAAATTAAATACGATACATTCTTTCAGAACTTTACAGATAAGGCTGAAAAGATGGATCCAAGTTAAGAATAACACGAGGAATGCACAAGTTTGCAGGACAAAATAAAACAGTGGTACGCGAGTGATGAAATCGTTGTTTTGTGACCGTCACCACCAACCTCACCAGCATCATAACACAGTGGCAGTAGATGGACTTAATGGTCACCATCAATACGATTATCAGTACATCTTAGTGATCACACCGTTGCAAGTTGTCACCACCACCATCATCATCACCACTAGCAGCATCACCTCCACAACTCTAATCACCACCAACACCACGATCATCACCATCTCCACCACCAACACCACCATCATCACCATCATCACCATCTCCACCACCACCAACACCACCATCATCACCATCTCCACCACCAACACCACCAACACCAACATCACCATCTCCACCACAAACACCACCATCATCACCATCTCCACCACCAACACCACCATCATCACCATCTCCACCACCAACACCACCATCACCATCTCCACCACCAACACCACCATCTCCATCACCAACACCATCATCACCATCTCCACCACCAACACCACCATCATCATCTCCACCACGATCATCACCATCTCCACCATCATCATCATCACCATCTCCACCACAATTACTACCACAAGCACCACCCTGAGGATAACCACCATAATCACCACCAACACCACATGTAAATGATACCCTCCTGGTGTCTGAATAAACAAATACAGTTGACCCTCACCACCTCCACCACCTCCACCACCACCCTCATCACCTCCACCACACTCACCACTCTCACCACCTCCACCACCCTCACCACCTCCACCACCACCAAACTAACCACGTCCACCAAACTAACCACGTCCACCACCCTCACCACCTCCACCACCCTCACCACCTCCACCACCACCAAACTAACCACGTCCACCAAACTAACCACGTCCACCACCCTCACCACGTCCACCACCCTCACCACGTCCACCACCCTCACCACGTCCACCACCCTCACCACGTCCACCACCATCCTCACCACGTCCACCACCACCCTCACCACGTCCACCACCACCCTCACCACGTCCACCACCACCCTCACCACGTCCACCACCACCCTCACCACGTCCACCACCAACCTCACCACGTCCACCACCACCCTCACCACGTCCACCACCACCCTCACCACGTCCACCACCACCCTCACCACGTCCACCACCACCCTCACCACGTCCACCACCACCCTCACCACCACCACCTTCACCACCTCCACCACCACCCTCACCACCTCCACCACCACACTCACCACCCTCACCACCCTCACCACCTCCACCAACACACTCACCACCCTCACCACCTCCACCAACACACTCACCACCTCCACCAACACACTCACCACTTCTCACCAGGGGCCCGCTCGCGTCCCGCGCTCTCCCCGCGTACCTGCAGTGCGAGTGCTCGTCGTGCATGCGCTCCTTGCCCTCCTTGAAGAGGTTCACGGCCTGCTTGCTCTTGCTCAGCAGGTTGTCGATGAACACCCTGAAGAACTCGTTGTCGCCCAGCGCGGCCATGCGGTCGTCGTGCCGTGCGAGCACAAGTCGCAGGTGCTGGTACGTGTCCGGCAAGATGTCCAGCATGTACGGTGGGCTGTTCTTCAGCTGCACCTTGGGGTTCTGGCAGTAGCGCACCACCTTGTCCATCAGCTTCCACGTCTTCTCCACCAGCCGCTTGTCCACCGCCTGCTTGGGCGGCCCCACGGCGTCGTGGAACGCGTCCATCATGAGCCCGAAGATGCGCTCCTTGAGGTGCGGGCGCTGCGGCCTGCTGCTGGGGCCCGTCGCCATGTTCGCCTCTCTCCGTGGTTTGTGTGCGGCCTCCCGCGCCTCCCCTCCGCGCCCCTCCTTATATAAGGATCACCGCCCCGGTGGAGTGACGTCATCACGCACGTGTCGTCACCGCGCACGTCGCGATCGCTCGCCCACGTTCCGACGATGCGGCCCATTCGTCGACGTCATCGCGTTCACGCAGAGTCGCGACGTGCCGACGTCATCACGCACGCAACGCAACGACGTCCCGCGAGCCTTCGTACGTCATCACGCACACGCGTCATTCCCGTGTGTTCAGACCGACTGAAGCATTCCAGAACAAAAGTAAATGTTAAATATTGTTTACTTCAAGTAAAAAATTAAATATTCAACTCATAAACTTAATATAACTCAAATAAAGTATTTTACAAAAGAAGAAAAATGTCGCAGTTGTTTCTGTCACAGACACAACCTGATTTTCAACAGAAATCCCCTTTCAATAATATTTGACAATCTAGATTTGAAGTTTTCGTGACTGCAGGGATCCATACTCTTTGGTTCTTTCGGTAAAAAAACAAAGAATATTTGCCAACTTGTTTCGAGCCCCAAATAAGCGTTCTTCATTAGGAGGCCCTGGGACCACTGGCGGCCCCTGGTGGCCTTTAGCGCGGCCCCCAAACAACACACAACGTGAGAAAAACACACACGACCCATCAATATGGTGCTGCTGTTAAACCCACCAACAATGGTGTCAAATGTGTGGCGGCCCTCACATTACTGGTGATGTCCTATCGGCGAACGTGCCCCCTGTGAGAATGAAGAGCACCGATTTAAATCGGCAAACAGCATCCCAGCGCCCCACTGGGCCTCATCTCCTCCAGCGGCCAGATCTCCCTTTTTATTCAAGTTATTTGTTAACCTTCATTATATTCTTTGATTCTTTCGGTAAAGTCACGTAGATAGAAAAATAATAATATGAATAAAGATGAATAAAAATACAAATAATAAAAAAACACGAAAAAACACTGATGTAGACTGTAGCCTGGTTATGAAGCTGGGTGAGTGTACTGGCAGTCTATAATGTAGACTGTAGCCTGGTCATTAAGCTGGGTGAGTGTACTGGCAGTCTATAATGTAGATTGTAGCCTGGTTTATGGGGACCTCATTTGCCAGTAAAAATATGATAATTGGTTCTTTACCCTTCTATCTGGCAACAAAACTGACACCTTTTTGCAAGGAGTCATGTTTGCATAGACCGCAATACCTGCAGTCATAAATACAAACAAAAGACATAACTCTGACAGTGCACATTATCAGAGTTATGTCTTTTGTTTGTATTTATGACTGCAGGTATTGCGGTCTATGCAAACATGACTCCTTGCAAAAAGGTGTCAGTTTTGTTGCCAGATAGAAGGGTAAAGAACCAATTATCATTGTAGCCTGGTTATTAAGTTTGGTGAGTGTAATGGCAGTCTATGATGTAGACTGTAGCCTGGTTATTAAGCTGGGTGAGTGTACTGGCAGTCTATAATGTAGACTGTAGCCTGGTCATTAAGCTGGGTGAGTGTACTGGCAGTCTATAATGTAGACTGTAGCCTGGTTATTAAGTTTGGTGAGTGTACTGGCAGTATATAATGTAGACTGTAGCCTGGTTATTAAGTTTGGTGAGTGTACTGGCAGTCTATGATGTAAACTGTAGCCTGGTTATTAAGCTGGGTGAGTGTACTGGCAGTCTATGATGTAGACTGTAGCCTGGTTATTAAGTTTGGTGAGTGTACTGGCAGTCTATGATGTAGACTGTAGCCTGGTTATTAAGTTTGGTGAGTGTACTGGCAGTCTATAATGTAAACTGTAGCCTGGTTATTAAGTTTGGTGAGTGTACTGGCAGTCTATGATGTAGACTGTAGCCTGGTTATTAAGCTGGGTGAGTGTACTGGCAGTCTATGATGTAAACTGTAGCCTGGTTATTAAGCTGGGTGAGTGTACTGGCAGTCTATAATGTAGACTGTAGCAATGGTTATTAAGCTGGGCACTGGCAGTCTGTAATGGGCTATGCCCATCTCTAAACCTTTATAAACAGTTTGCCTTTAGAGGCTAACCCCCCTTTTCCTGATGACGACCGCTTGTGTTGCAATTGAAACGTCGTGGTTTTTGTTTTAATTGTATTACTGAAAGAACCAGAATAAGCCTACATTATAGACTGCCAGTACACTCACCCAGCTTAATAACCAGGGCTACAGTCTGCATTATAGACTGCCAGTACACTCACCCAGCTTAATAACCAGGCTACAGTCTACATTATAGACTGCCAGTACACTCACCGAGCTTAATAACCAGGCTACAGTCTACATTAGTGTTTTTAGTTTTTTTACAATTTGTATTTAATGATTTGTATTCACTTTATTCTTATTTTTATATCTACGTGACTTTACCGAAAGCACCAAAGAATATTAATTCCTGCAGTCACGAAAGCTAAGTAAAAATTTTAACTTAATTATACTTTGCACTCTTATCGTGTTTTTGCATTATTCGTTGTTGTCACATTCTAACCCGCCCCCTACTGGACATCTGTAAAAAAAGCTTTGTAGCTCATCGGATTCCTCCAGGATATTCTGAAACCCATGTTAAACATTTACATTTCGATTTAAAGCTTTCGTGACTGCAGGGATTCATCTTCTTGGTTTTTTCGGTAAAGTCACGTAGAATGGAAATAATACAATAATAAAAAAAAACATAATAAAATAATTCTCACGACGTTTCTGGCACAACGCAAGCAGCCGTCCTCAGGTGAAGAACAGGTCTGTCGATAAGACAGAGTCTGAATGACACGTCCTGGGCTTGGAGCGTCTATTTAAGCTGGGAGGGAGGAGGAAGAGCGCCTTGACAAAATAATTTGCATATTAAGAGAAATTTTAGCATATTTATGTAATATTACACTATGTATTATTCTAGCCACCCTACTGCACACCACACTGCTGCATATTCACCATACAACTACGACACCATGTATTACCTTGTACATTGTATTAAACATTACAATTTTATACTATTTACTAGCTGTACTACCCGGCTTCGCCCGGGATTTGTATCCACCACGGCCGGCCGCCTTTGTCTCCCCAGTGGCGATGTTAATACGCCACACCAGTTACTCCTTTGAGGCTGAGTCGACCTATGGGAGGTTCAAATAATCTTGACCGGTGGTGGCCATGAGCGGGAATCGAACTCGGTTCGCCGGGTTGGTATCGCAGCGTAGCGTTAACCACTACACCCACCGCTCCTCACACACACAGACGCACAGACACACACACAGACACACACACAGACACACACACAGACACACGCAGACACACACACAGACACAGACAGACACACAGACACACAGACAGCACGCTAACCACTACACTACCGCTCCCCACACACGCACACACACAGACACACACACAGACACACACACAGACAGCACGCTAAGCACTACACTACCGCTCCCCACACACCACACACGCACACACACAGACACACACACAGACACACAGACAGCACGCTAAGCACTACACTACCGCTCCCCACACACCACACACGCACACACACAGACACACACACAGACAGCACGCTAAGCACTACACTACCGCTCCCCACACACCACACACGCACACACACAGACACACACACAGACACAGACAGCACGCTAAGCACTACCTACCGCTCCCCACACACCACACACGCACACACACAGACACACACACAGACACAGACAGCACGCTAACCACTACACTACCGCTCCCCACACCACACACGCACACACACAGACACACACACAGACACACAGACAGCACGCTAACCACTACACTACCGCTCCCCACACACCACACACAGACACACACACACAGGCAGCACGCTAAGCACTACACTAACGTTCCCCCTACACAACACACGCGCGCGCGTCCATAGGTACACATACACGCGCTTGCTGCAGACACACACGACTTTCAGGGTGCGTACGGCAGTAAACGACTGCAATAATAAAGCGGCAATGCTGCGCGAGGAACGCCTTAGACCTGCAACACATTTGTGTAATGCGAGCGTAAACACACAAACACATACAAACACATACACACACACATAAACACAAACACATACACACAAACACATACAGACACATACATACACACATACATACAGACACACAGACATACACATAAACACATACACACATAGTCATGATCCGGCTTTGCCCGGGACTTGGATCCACCACGCCCGGCCGCCTTTGTCTCCCCAGTGGCGATGTTAATACGCCACACCAGTTACTCGTTTTGAGGCTGAGTCCCTCCCTCGCCACTCTCCCTCCCTCGCCACTCTGCCTCCCTCGCCACTCTGTAGAGGACGTGAAATTTGTATGAATTTACCTCAGAGTGGCGTGTTGGGTGTCGAGGCCTAGCACCGTGCAGAGCCTCCCGCCTTGCCTGATTTTCCACCCGGCGAACGCCGGGTACGGGTGCCGGTCCACCCCCCCCCCTGCGCTATTAAAAATGGCGTCCACCCCGCGGCGAAAAGTTGCTACTCGTTGCCAGGGGCAACCGCCGTCCAATGAAAGCGGCGAAGGCGTTGCTAGCCGTTGCCAGGGGCAACCGCCGTCCAATGAAAGTGCGTATGGTCCGAAATCCACACACAGACAGACATTCACGATTTTATATATATAGACTAGCTTTACTACCCGGCTTCGCCCAGGTCTTTGATTCACCACGCCCGGCCGCCTTTGTCTTCCCAGTGGCGATGTTCACACACCACACCAATTACTCGTTTGAGGCTGAGTCGCCCTAGGGGAGGCCCAGGAGCGGTTAAAATAATGCTCACCGGTGGTGGCCATGAGCGGGAATCCAATTCGGGTCGCCGGGTTCCGCTCCCCCCCCCACACACATACGCGTGTGCGTCCATAGGTAGACATACACGCGCTTGCAGCACACCCACCGCTCCTCACACACCACACACGCACAGACACACACACAGACACACACACATAGACACACGCAGACACACACAGACAGACACAGACAGACACACACACACACAGACACACAGACAGCACGCTAAGCACTACACTACCGCTCCCCACACACCACACACGCACACACACAGACACACACACAGACACACACACACAGACAGACACACACAGACAGCACGCTAAGCACTACACTACCGTTCCCCCTACACAACACGCGCTTGCTGCAGACACACACGACTTTGAGGGTGCGTACGGCAGTAAACGACTGCAACAATAAAGCGGCAATGCTGCGCGAGGAACGCCTTAGACCTGCAACACATTTGTGTAATGCGAGCGTAAACACACAAACACATACAAACACATAACACACATACACACAAACACACATGCATACACACAAACACACACATACATACACACAAACACAATACACACACACATACATGCAGACACACAGACACACACATAACACACATACATACACACACATACATACACAGAAACACATACACACACATACACACACACAAACAGATACACACACGTACATAGACACATGCATACAGACACGCAGACATACACATAAACACATAGCAAAAAACTCACATACATACACACACATACATACACACAAACACATACACACACATACATACACACATACATATAGACACACAGACATACACATAAACACATACACACATAGACATGAGCCGGCTTTGCCCGGGACTTGGATCCAGCACGGCCGGCCGCCTTTGTCTCCCCAGTGGCGATGTGAATACGCCACAGCAGTTACTCGTTTTGAGGCTGAGTCCCTGCCTCGCCACTCTCCCTCCCTCGCCACTCTCCCTCCCTCACCACACTGTAGAGGACGTGAAACTTTTATGATTTTACCCCAGAGTGGCGTGGTGGGTGTCGAGGCCTAGCACCGTGCAGAGCCTCCCGCCTCGCCTGATTTTCCCATCCGGCTGACGCTGGGTACGGGTGCCGCCCCCCCCCCCCCCCCCCCGCGCTACAATAAGACTGTGTAATCGCTATAATTTATTAATCGACCTACCCTATAATAGTAATAGCACACATTGTGGTGGGGGGGGGGGGGGGGTGAAGAGGACGTGAAACTTAGATGAATTTACCTCAGAGTCGCGTGTTAATGCGTGTGCCTATTTTTAACGTGAATACAAAATGGCGTCCACCCCGCGCGAAAAGTTGCTATTCGTTGCCAGGGGCAACCGCCGTCCAATGAAAGCGGCGAAGGCGTCGCTAGCCGTTGCCAGGGGAAACCACCGTCCAATGAAAGTGCGTATGGTCCGAAATCCACACACACATACACAGACAGACAGACATGCACGATTTTATATATATAGATTATTATACAATCCGCTATACACTATACCATTGGCCGTCGCGTGAAAGATACTAAGAGGAAGCAGCGAAATATGTCAATGGGAGAGTGGTGGTTGGAGACTTGCAGAGGAGCAAAGAATCCATTCCCTGCGGAGAATACAAGATATATAGTCAATGCCAGTGAGTGGAACGCGGTCTAAAAGTCACTGTAAACGTGAACACAATCAGTTAAGATCCGAAATGGTTTATTACGTCCTTCCAATGATTACTGAGCCAGAATCCATCTTCTCGGTTGAAATTGTCTCTGTGTTTGTATATGTGGATCGCCTCATGAACGAATCTCTCATGGTAGCCAGATGTCTTGCAGAGAACCTCTGTCTTGGAGAAGTCAATGGCATGTGAGCCCACTGAATTGTAACAGTGATCTGCCACGGCTGAGGTGTTTGTCCTACCGTGTTTCAGGTCTGCTTTATGTTCACGGATTCGGTCCGAGAAATGTCGTTTGGTTTCTCCAATGTAACTGGTACCACAGAGGCAACTTAGTTTGTAGACGCCAGGGTACTGTATGTCTGGAACCACATCTTTTACAGACGGGACCAGATCACGGATTTTATGTACTGTGTTGAATCGGACCTGGGAGGGAGGAGGGGGTACCCCCCCTGGTGAGACACTGCTTAACCAATACATACTTCACCTGGAATGGAACTTACTACAAACAAACCGAGGGCACCCTAATGGGCTTCCCCCTATCTCCGGTTGTAGCCAACGTTTTCATGGAGAAATTTGAGACTGACGCCATCCAGACTGCCACTCTACGCCCGACCTTATGGATGAAGTACGTAGATGACACTTTTGTCATCTGGCCACATGGCCGGCCTGCTCTAGACCAATTTATCAACCACATCAATTCCATACACCCAGCCATCAGATTCACCATGGAAGTCGAAAAAGATGGCAAGCTACCCTTTTTGGATGTCCTAATTAAAAGGAGACCTGATGGTTCAATGAGCCACTCTGTCTACAGGAGAGCCACCCATACGGATGCTTACCTAAAACCGGATTCCCACCACCATCCATCCCAGAAAAATTCCCTCATCACCATGTGGCCAGATAACAAAAGTGTCATCTACGTACTTCTTCCGTAAGGTCGCGCGTAGAGTGGCAGTCTGGAATGCGTCAGTCTCAAATTTCTCCATGAAAACGTTGGCTACAACCGGAGATAGGGGGGAGCCCATTAGGGTTTTAGAAAGTTCCATTCCAGGTGAAGTATGTATTGGTTAAGCAGTGTCTCACCAGGGGGGGTGGTGTATAGTAATCACAAGTAGTACTAGTCGCATATCTGAATTTCCCATAAATATGCTAAAATTCGTAGTTGTATGGTGAATATGAAGCAGTGTGGTGTGCAGTAGGGTGGGTAGAATAATACATAGTGTGTAATATTGCATAAATATGCAAATTATTTTGTCAAGGCGCTCTTCCTCCTCCCTCCCAGCTTAAATAGACGCTCCAAGCCCAGGACGTGTCATTCAGACTCTGTCTTATCGACAGACCTGTTCTTCACCTGAGGACGGCTGCTTGCGTTGTGGCCGAAACGTCGTGAGATTTTATTGTTTTATTTTATTATTTTATTATTTCCATTCTATGTGACTTTACCATGTTAAACACGCAAGCCTTCTGATTGGTCAAGCCCCGTGTCTCCCTTAGCTACGCCCCTCACTCACTGTGGCTCCGCCCCTCACGCACTCTCATTGGCTACATGCACCCATGAGAGGCGGAGTCTATTCTGCAGCGCACCAATCGGTGTCTTTGTGTATCTCCCTTGCGTCCGTCAACCCATGTGGTTTAGCCGTATTTTTGTTGAACAGGGAAACTGAGTTTTCAGGTCCATTCGGCGTACAGCCGTTTCAATACGGGCAAATAAATGTCTTTATTTGTGTTTATCCCTGTTATGGGACTGTAGGATGACCGTGGATATTTATAAGGGCCAATAAGGTCTGAAGGTCTGTAATTAGGTAGGCACTGATAAAGAGTTTGACAGGCATATCCTATCAAGCAAGAGACATCCTCCTGGCTCATCATTTATTTGTTGATTTGCTTTCAGCGCCTCTCACGCTGGGTTACCGATGTGCAGAGCCAACATCGCTGTGGTCTAAAAATTGACAATATTTTAGAACAAATATCGCGATATTAAATATACAGTACTTGCATCATATATATATCTGACCACACAACAATACAATAATAAAATGCACATGTTCCGTATTCTACACACTTAAGAGATACTCCAGAAGGTAATATATACTTCAATCTTGTGCCCAGTCGAAATAACGTTACACAAATCTGTTCACACACACTTACAAAGACAAATATACATTAACACATTCATACATACCCAGACTGTGAGGCAGCCGCAATTTTTGGTAAAAAAAAGTGTCTTATAATCTGGACAGCACGGTATTACAAAAACTAAACAATGCATCAATACTACACTCGTTTGTATAAACATTGTAAAAGAAATGCATTCCTTTAGGATGCTTGAGTGGTTACGACGTCTTTGGAAATGATAGACTTGCGTGGTTCCTTAGAACTTTGTTTGGGTTCGAGTTTGCAAGGATCCTCAGAGCTTTGTGTGTGTTCAAGTTGTAGGGTACATGGATCTTTAGAACTTTGTGTGGGTTCAAGTTGTAGGGTGCATGGATCTTCAGAACTTTGTTTGGGTTCAAGTTGTAGGGTGCATGTATCTTCAGAACTTTGTGTGGGTTCAAGTTGTAGGGTGCATGTATATTTAGAGCTTTGTTTGGGTTCAAGTTGTAGGGTACATGGATCTTCAGAACTTTGTTTGGGTTCAAGTTGTAGGGTGCATGGATCTTCAGAACTTTGTTTGGGTTCAAGTTGTAGGGTGCATGGATTTTTAGAGCTTTGTTTGGGTTCAAGTTGTAGGGTACATGGATCTTCAGAACTTTGTTTGGGTTCAAGTTGTAGGGTGCATGGATCTTCAGAGCTTTGTGTGGGTTCAAGTTGTAGGGTGCATGGATCTTTAGAACTTTGTTTGGGTTCAAGTTGTAGGGTGCATGGATCTTTAGAGCTTTGTTTGGGTTCAAGTTGTAGGGTACATGGATCTTCAGAACTTTGTTTGGGTTCAAGTTGCAGGGTGCATGGATCTTTAGAGCTTTGTGTGGGTTCAAGTTGTAGGGTGCATGGATCTTTAGAGCTTTGTTTGGGTTCAAGTTGTAGGGTACATGGATCTTCAGAACTTTGTTTGGGTTCAAGTTGCAGGGTGCATGGATCTTTAGAGCTTTGTGTGGGTTCAAGTTGTAGGGTGCATGGATCTTTAGAACTTTGTGTGGGTTCAAGTTGTAGGGTGCATGGATCTTTAGAGCTTTGTGTGGGTTCAAGTTGTAGGGTGCATGGATCTTTAGAACTTTGTTTGGTTTCAAGTTCAAGCCGTTTGGTTATGACTGATGTGGCTATACATTTCGGCGGCGGCGTTACCTTTGCGGTTGACAGCCACTCTTTTGCGAAGGAGATATAAGACTCCTTGACCGAAGGTGTAGTTTTCGTCAAAGTGTGAGATGCATTTGCAGCTTTGGAGGCAGTCGATCTCGAAGTGGTCACAACTTTTATCACGGGGGTCACTGGATGCAAGGTCACGATGGACGGGACCTGTGCTCGCTGCGATAAAGTGCCCGGGGTCGTTTTGAAGGTTGCCGTTGCTACTCTGGATCGTATGGCAGCCTGAAGCTTGACTTTAACTTCATCGCGAGAATCTGCAGAGGAAACCACCACACATGGTCGCGTCGTCTTTGCAGTTGCACGTTTCATAATTATACGTCTGTGACCAATGGACTCAGTCGCTTCTCCAGTAGATGGCGCCCCGGTAACACTGCCCTTTGTATTTGAAGCACTCGTCTCTTCGCCTTGTTTGCTGCCATCCACAGGCTGCCTTGTGTTTTGCACAGGAGAATTTTGACGGGGTGATGATGGTACACTCATTGTTGGCTCGTCAGTTTGGCTTGCTCGGTTGATCAACATGCTGGTGGTCGCGGGACCTTTTGGGAGATCACGCGGTTTGTTTGGAGAGTTGCCACCGTGTTGACTGTGCAATGAACATTTATCAGAACCCGTCACGTGAAGTTTGGCGTTTCTTCCTTTTAAAATATCGATCACCTAAGAGAGCGGTGCGTAACACAGTATGAGTAGACTCATATATCAATGTACTTGCATTGGCGAGAAAACACAAACTATGAAAAGGTAAAGGTGCAGCCCTGCAATGTATTGCTCAGGCCATTGCTGGCAAAAGGACCTCCACGAGAGGGAGCAACAAAGAGCCAATCTCGAGGGTATAACTGGCCTACTCTTCAAGACGTCCTGTAAAAGGTGGGCATACCCACATTTTACCCCACCACTGCAACCTACCGATCAACTGTAGTGCACCCATTTATGTTACTGGGCATGGGGGTGGGGATGTAATAAAGTTGCACCATTGCTTCTGCTGCCACGCCGGATGATTAAATTTAACCCGCAACCTCGAGAATTACAAGGCCAGTGCGCTGACCGTAACACAACGGCAACATCATTGTGCAAAGTAGTATCACGAGGATGGAGATAGCTATAATGGATGGAACATTTGGACCATGCCGAGTTGAACGGCGTGGTCCAGGGGTGCCATGGTGGAGGGATGTTAGCTGCCTCGCCTGGTATACAGGTCGGGGGTTCGATCCCAACCCTAATGCCTATTTGGGGTTCACATGTTCTCCCCGTGGTCACGTGGATTTTTGTCCAGGTCCTCCGGTTTTTCCCTCCACATTTAGAATCAACATGCGTTTAGAGTATTTGGCTGCAATACATTTCCATGTGATAAGCCACACCAATGGGCTATCATTTGTGGCCAGGTCGCTTCTGAAAAAAAGAGCTATATACAACTGTGTGGGCCTTATCTGGTAAAAATAAAAACAGCTTTTAAAATAATTTGAACATGACATACAATACCTGCTGGTTGGTGGTGACCGTGTAGGCATTGTCATTCTGCGTGTTCTTGAGTCCAACGTTGGCGCCGTGCCTCACGAGGAGGCACGTGATCTCGAGCAGGCCCCGGCCACTCGCCACGTGCACGGCTGCATTGCCGCCGTACGTCTGCTGGTTCACATTCGCACCATTCTGCAACAAGGCAGCAAAACCGCAGCGTTAACACGCAGGATTGCATAGACACGACTGTGATTCACAAGAGATGTTTGGGTTTGACCACGTAATGATCTGACCAAATAATGCGTTGTGAAACCCTCCGCCAACCCGACAACAGCTCAGCAAATTATATTGCCACGTCGACGACAGACATTTAATGCGCCGATTATATATTGCTTCAGCTCACCGGCAAGTTAAAGAGCAAGACTCACAGCAAAATGTTGGTATGAGATACGTGACGTTTCATTTGGAAATACCCCAAACATCATCAGGGAAAAACGTATCCAGGCCTCAAGATGAGAACTCAGGAATTGAGCTTAACAATTTCACCTGACCAGGCTTCCTGAAATAGAATCCATGCCATTTCAGGGCACAACCAATCAGATGCAAAGCATATATTAAGGTAATGAGTACATATTTACTAATTTTATGCAAATGTATCACTGCCAATGATTAACATTCCATGCATCTGTCGTGGATCGTGAATGCCATGTGCTACGTATCCCCCCCGCGTGCTGAAAATCCGATGTTTCAGCGCCACGTGCTGGGAGCAAAACGTTGGACATCATGGCAAACAAAATGACGGACAAACCGTAAGCACATTGCAGAGACTTGACATGAGCAAGCCATCACGGAAGCTTGACGAGGTGACAATACAAAGGAATCGAAAGAATAAGATACCTTGATTAGAAGTTCTACAATCTCTTTGTTGTCATTTTCCACTGCGTAGATTAAAGCAGAGGCTCCGTTTTTCCAATCCTATGAAACAGTATAACAAGGAGGAAAAACCACACATGTGCATTGATTCTGTATCGCTATCCAACGTGTAAATAAGGATTATTTGTTAATGTGCGCAACCTGTTGTGACATACAGATCATAAGCATTGACACTGATGAATAAAAGTTGGCAAAAATGGGAAAGTTTGAAAAAGGGATGGCGACAATTTGAGGCCTTTATCCAGCAGTGAAGTGATCACTGCAGACGATTATAAACATCATCTTCTGAGGCACACGAGATGACGTCACAATATTTGCGCTCCTCTTGATACGACACACGGTGACATTATCACGAGGCGCACGCATGGAACGTGACATCATATGTAGCCTTGGCCGAAAAGGCTTTTCTTTTTGGCGCTGGTTTATTTATAGCTTTTAGACAACCCTCTGACCAATTTATGTCTTAAGAACCGCTTTTATGTTTAGCTTGTTGTCCTTCCCCCACGCCTCCGATTAGCACGGTTGGCTACGTACGGTGCGAAAGAAGTTCAACATACGTACATATAATTTGGTCGGTTTTTAACAGCGAAGTCCATAACAGCGACACCACTTCATACTTTATACTCTAAAATCCCCTTTGCTAGGACTTATAATAAGCAACACTGTCATTCGGGCAAGCGTGTTTATTTTGCAGTCGCTTACTAAGGCGTCGACATTGACTTGATTCTCAAGCAGACGGGACACAGCACTGATGCAACTTCCCTTCACTGCCACGTGCAGTGGAGTCATCCCTGTACACGCAAACAGCACGACATTGTCATAATTCTAAGAAAAAGATCAAAGTACGTGCTTTGTTTCACTCTTTCAACGATTTCAACATATTCCCTTGACATAATAATGTGTTAATCTATCCGCCTATTGGCTTTTCAGACCAATATTATTGAGCAGCATATTGGTCTGGAAAGCCAATATCCTGAAAAGCTGATGAGCTAAATACTGTTGTATATGAGGAGACAGAATGGAATTCCACTTGTGTATATATGCTTTAAAACAAACATAAAAATAGTATTAAAAAAAAGAACAGGTTTTACCATTTCTGGCAATAAAACAGGAGGTGTTAAGATGTTCAAACACTAAATAGAAACCTCTTGCAAGGCATCAAGTCTGCATTAACCACACGTACTTGTGGTGAACATGCAAACAAACATGCTCTGATAATATTTGCATTGTCTTTGAAACTGATTGGCCTACACCAGAGACAGTCTTCTTCATGGCCTCGTCTCACCAGTGTCAGACCACAGAACAGCAAAAGGCGAACAATACAAAGACAATGCGTGATTTAGAGCATTTATAGCGTTTGTTGAGCAGCATTGCAGTGCCGACCAAGAGGCAGCCCGAGGTGAGATGGAGATACAAGGACACAGCACATGAGACTGAGCCTCGAGGTCTCTCTTGAGTTATCACCGGGTCAAGCAACGTCAACTCGACACTTAACACGGCTCACAGGGCAAAGTGGAGGACAGGAAAGCAGCACGGCCAGTCTTGGTGGCGAGATGTTAACTCCCTCGCCTGGTATGCAAGAGGTCGTGGGTTTGATCCTGACCCTGATGCCTCTTTATTTGGAGTTTGCATGTTCTCCCTATGGTTTCGTGGATTTTTCTCTGGGTCCTTCGGTTTTCCCCCCACATTTAGAAACATGCGCTTAAGAGTATTTGGCTGCTATGATTTTTCCACGTGATAAGAAACTTCGTTGAGCTATCATTTGTGGTCAGGTCGCTTCTGAAAAAGAGCTACACAGCTCAGTGGGCCTTACCTGGGGAAATAAAAATTAGTTTAGTTTTCGTTTCATATAAACGAGATAAACATGAAAAATGTAAAACGTAAAGTTTATTCTTTAACAAGGCAATAACTCAACAAACAAAGATGGCTCTCATTTGCCAGGTTGACATGGGTCACCAATATGACAAAAGTAATAAAGTGCAATTGAGCACAACGATTAAGTAAATAGAAATCAGAGCAAATTCAATCAAAATAGACACGAGAGCAAACGCAACCATGTGGGCATAAGATGTTGAAACCTGTGGACAAGCATAACCAATATTACATTTAATACACTTGCAGTAATAAAATATGGCTTCGACAAATTACTCCTCATAACTATTCATCGTAAAATTTATTTATAGGAAACCATCAAAACGAACGTGGGGTGACACCTGCATTGGAATGTATGCAGACAGGGATATGTGAATGTCGACTACGGGAGGAAACCGGCCAGGCGCTGCGGACACACCGGCAAAGTCGTGGCTGTTGAGGAGCGCTCGGCAGGCTGGCTGGGCGAGCAGCAGGGTGAGCACGTCGGTCTGGCCGGCGCTGCACGCCAGGTGCACAGCATTCATGCCATGACGGTCCAGGGCAGCGGGAGAAGCTCCTCCACTCAGCAGCACGGCCACAAGCGCCTCCTGCCCCGTGATGATGGCCAGGTGCAGCGGCGACTGCGCACACGGTGCCGAGCCGCCGCGTCTATGTTACGCGCACGGGCGGCTGTGGGCCGACGCGACCCCGCAATTGCTCGCTTGCACCACCGCTGGTGGGTGGGCTTCAGAATCAGAACGTTTCTTTATCCTGGAGAAATCTGATGAGCAATGGAGCTCTTTTTCACAGTTGTCCAGTAAGGGGCTGGGTCAGAAAGTTATATCAACAATACAAAAAAAATGATGGGAGCGCAAAGTATAGGAAAGGTAAGCAAATCAATAAAACTAATTTAAAAACATACGCAAAGTATACCTGATCAAATTGTATGAGTACATAAAATCCCAAGCTTGAGCAAGGCTTCTACCAGACTGAGCTCTGAAGAGCCCCTCTGGAAGGTATTTGGCCAACGCTTCAAGATGTCTTGGAAGCCGTGAGAATGCACTCACTGTAACCCCAGCCACAGGCGACTTTCCGATTGACGGTGACATTTTTATTGCTGGGTGGACAGAGGCGGGAGGCATTCAAGAAACCCGCACCATTGTTTCAAGTGCCTAACTGGGAGATGGAACCAGTGGCTTCACCGGGAGATGGAACCAATGGCCTCACCGGGAGATGGAACCGGTGGCCTCTGGATTGTGTACCAACTATTCCAGCATGGCAGAGTCCCAACAAGTATGACTAACACACACAGAGTCAGAGTGCTTTTATTTACATGTCTGTAAGTGTGGGAGAAATCAAGAGTAATTATTAACATAATCATTGGCAGCATGAGGCCCCTTGACTATGTGGGTATTCATCTTCTTGGTTCTTTCGGTAAAGTCACGTAGAAGGGAAGTAATAAAATAATAAAAATAAAACAATATAACAATTCTCACGACGTTTCAGCCACAACGCAAGCAGCTGTCCTCAGGTGAAAACCAGGTCTGTCGAGGCGACAGCGTCTAAAATTCAGACGCTGTTTGCAGAGGGGCTCTTCAGACGCTGTCGCCTCGACAGACCTGGTTTTCACCTGAGGACAGCTGCTTGCGTTGTGGCCGAAACGTCGTGAGAATTGTTATATTATGTTTTATTTTTAATATTTTATTACTTCCCTTCTACGTGACTTTACCGAAAGAACCAAGAAGATGAATCCCTGCAGTCACGAAAGCTATGTGGGTATTGTTAGTGTCTCGGGGGATTGAGGGGTAACCCTTCCTTTGAACCTCGGGGAACCTTCCACTGCAACTGATAAAACATCTCTTACATTTTGCACGAGTTCATAAAGGTATGCTGCAACGGTGCAATGGTGAGCAACCCCAGACTTACAATCCAGAGGCCACACCAGTTCCATCCCCAGCACGGCAGTTCAAGCAATCGGGAAAGTTTCATAAATCCCCCCTCAACCCTCCTCCCCTCCCCCCACAGCCTATGTCCACCCAGCAGTAGAAATGTGCATGCGACAGTTGGTAAAGTATGGGTACTCCCCTCTTTTCCAATAAGGCTTACCAGCATGGAAGAGTAGGCCAAATACTGAACTGTCTGGAGGGGCTCTCTCGATCTCCCTTCGTCGAGGCCCTTCCACCAGTAGTGGTGTGCGCAGGCAATTGCAGGTTTGCACTTTTACCTTTCATACAAATACAATCTTGCAGTTTATACCAAAATTTTAAATGTTGCGTATACAGTATTCGCAACAAATTTAAGCCATCGAAGCACAGTCAAGTTAAGGAATTAATTAATCAAATCAATCTTTATTTTACGTTCCAATATCGCTCTCAATAAAGTGGGCATCGGTGCACATGACAGTAGAACGGGAGCAGCACAGGGGGTCATAGAGCACACAGGAATGAACGGGACCTGATATCCACGTGTTTACGTGTGCAGAGGGCGACTTGTTGGGCTGCTTCACTCCCAACCGCACGGCGCGACAAAAAGCGAGCAGTAGCATCACAGCACGGCTGCCCACGTCCAATTCTATGGCGAGCGAAGAGCAGTACTGTTTTTGATGATGCTGGTTGTAATAACTGGTGAAACGTCGTACTCGAATTGTAAATGTTGTGGGTTTACTCTTCAACACACCAGTTTTATTAACTAGTAACGAATTGGCATGTTTTGTTTACGTGATAACCCTTACTAATTGGCTGTGTCGGGTGGTGGCTGGTTTAATGACGCATTTATATTTACGCGATCTAACCAAAAAACCTATATTATGGCCACAAGTACTGTCCGCTTGGTTGGCTACCAGTAGGCATGTGTTGCGGATCTACGTCTCTAGGTCTTGATATTTCTGTGTCTGCACGTATGTGTTGGGATACGACACGCAAAGACAAAAAAAAGGATCCCCCTTGAACAAACCGTTGGGGCAAGTGCTGTTAGCGAGCACCTATTAAGGCCAGCACGGCACACGAGGGGGTCGGTAGCCAGCACCACTCCTGGCCGCCTGTCTACCCAGTGCCGATTTTTACACATCACACCAGGTAATCATTTGAGGCTGAGTCGACCTAGGGGAGGCCCAGGACCGATTCATAAAATCGTCACTAGTATTGGCTGTGAGTGGGAATCAAACTCGGGTTACCGTGTTCGTAGCGCAGCGTGCTAACCGTTGCACTACCGCTCCCCATATAATATATATACAGATGCATCGGCACAGACATATATGACACACGGAAATATAAAGATAAAGACCCCCAATGTAGCCTACACAGGCAGTTGGGGCAAGCACTGATAGCGAGCACCTACGGTGGCCATGGCAACAACAATAACAACCACCATTCGCCACTAAGTGGCGGTGAAGTCACCACGACGCTTGTGTCAGGCTGTGCATCTTGAGGCCACGTGAAGTATCCAACGCCCACTGGCAGGAGGTCACGGGGCAGACCCAGATGCCACAGGTCGACTGAAACGACTGGCTGATGCACCACCTTTGTCCCTTACTGTGCCAACTTGCTGTGCTTTAGCCACCCGGCGCTCCGCTCGTTGTTGTGAGCGTCGCTCCTCTGCCCTCCAATGTTGTTGGAGGGTGACTGCCTCAAACTGCCCAGTAGCGTCCTTCACGAGCCTCCTCCACAGAGGGCGATCTTGACACCGCTGGTACCAGTCATCGGCTTCAGCTCCACATCCTCCTGTACCACATCACTCCATCTCCTCTCTAGTCCGTGCCGCGCCCGTTTTGCCCCCTCGATCCGGCTGAACAAAAGCTGTTTAGGCATGCAGTGGCTGGGCATGCGGGCTACATGGCCCAGCCAACGCAACCTTGCCTGCTGGAGGAGCTCACCGATGGTATTTTGCCCCGATCTTTCAAGGATTTGTGAGCTCCTCACACAATCCAACCTCGTTAAACCCAGGATGGATTGCAGGCAGGCCAGCCTAAATGTTTATAACCGGCGAAGATGTTCCATTAGGGGGGTCCACGTTTCGCAAGCGTAGAGAAGGGAGGGAATGACCATCGCCAAGAAGACCTGAAGCTTTGTGCAGAGCGACAGGACTAGGTAGCTTCCACACAGCGTTACGCAACCGATGAAAAGATAAGGCCGCTCAACTGATTTGGAGTGAGACCTCTGCTATTAAACTGGAGCCGGTCATGAGCACACTGTCCAGGTATGGGAAACTCTCCACTCTCTCCACAACTACCCTCGATCAGCTTCCCATTGTATCTGTCCCAGATGGAAATTCTTCCGGTATAGCTATTGAAGGCTTCACGAACTACGTGGTTGAAATAAATGTTAAATAATGTGGGAGCCAGAGGACATCCCTGTAGCACCCCAAGGAGTACAGGGAATGGTTCTGACTCCCAGCCGCATAGTTTTACCCGGGCCCGCTCACCATCATGAAGGTCCTTAATGATCCTGAGCAGAGGGTCAGGGACTCCGAAAGCACGAAGAACTACCAAGAGCCCAGGCCTACTTATGGTATTATAGGGCTTGACCAGGTCAATAAAGCAGAGATGTAGGTATTGTTGGAATTCCCTACACCTCTGCTTTAGCAGACGGACAGAAAATATGGCATCTATGCAGGACTGCCCTTTCCTGAAACCACATTGGGCTCCACAAGCCTCTCCTCAGCGTGCCCAGCAAGGCGATGTTGAACAATCCTTGCCAGAACCTTTCCCGGCACACTGAGGAGTGAGATGCCCCTGTAGTTATTACTCTGTGCGGTCCCACTTCTTAAAGAGGGGGACCACCAGGGCATCCTTCCAGTCCTGTGGAACCCATCCAGTGGTCCAGACTGTTGTTATGATGTCAAGTAGGGCAGTCTGTGCACAAACACCACCCTCCCTCAACATTTCACTTGGGAGATCATCTCTGCCCGATGCCTTTTCTAGTCTCAGACTCTGGATCGCCTTCAGTACTTCCTCAACAGATGGCACCTCAGCCAGCCACTCACAGAGGGTGACTTCTTCCAATATTTGAGGCACCGCAGCCTCGGCAGGGTCATCCCCACTTTGTCCCATGTTGTTATCCAGGCTGAGGGATGTCCCCTCCCCCAGGACCTCACAGAAATGCTCAGCAAATCTGCAAACCTGTTCCCAGGGGTCGGAGATTGGATCACTGTTTTTTCCCCTAATGATGGTAATAGGTGTGGCGCTGCAGGTTACTTTTTTAATGAAATTAAAGAGCAATTTGTGATCGTGGGCCATTGAGGCAGACTCCATCTCCTCAGCAACCCGCGACCACCACCCATCCTTGCAGCGCCTCACAGCTCTCTGAACCTCCGAGTGAAGGCTGCAGTAAGCCTCCTCATTCTCCGATGTGGGATGCTGTAGCCGATGAGAGTGGGCCTGTCGTTTTTTTCTCAGCCAACTTGAACACCTCCTCTGTCAGCCAGGGTATCTGGGGAGATCTGGACCGTGTACCCAAAGCAGCCATTGCAGCTGCATGAGCCACAGTCCTAAACCCCGCCCATTTCCTCTCGACATCAGGAGGAGTGAGGGACGATGCCAACCCCAGCCGCAAGCGATGATTAAATTCTCGCTTGCAACTTTCATCAGCTAGCTGAGACCATGCCACTAGGGGCTTAAATGGGGTCCTGGGTGTACACCCACCACTGGGGTGGAAGAATGGCAGGCACATCTTACAGATGACCAGTCGATGGTCAGTGGGCAGATCAGCTCCACTGTAGGTCCTGGTATCAAGGACGTGGGCCCGCATCTGCTGTTCCGTCACTATGTAGTCCAGCAAATGTTCTTGCTTGGACCCGGCATGCATCCATGATGTTGTGTGGATGCGCCAATGCCGGAACAGCGTGTTGGTAATTACAAGCCCATGGGCTGCACAACAATCTAGCAGCCTCCTGCCGTTGTTATTGAGCTGATCTGGCCCATGCCTTCCAATCACTCCAGGCCAGATGCCAGCATCATGACTAACTCGAGCATTGAAGTCACCCAACAAGATGACTCTATCCCGAGGAGCCACTTTCGCTAGCACCTGTGACAGGAGGTCATAGAAGGCATCTGACGTATTGGCCTTGCCTGCATCCCTCCACGGATGTTCGTCTTCAGTGGGGGCATAATTAACCACGACCACCACTCCTCGCCTCTGGTTGATGGGAAGGCGAGCCCTAAGTAGCCTGGAGCTTACAGCTTCCCACACCTCACCGCCACGCTCCCAAGCCCCCTTCATTCTTTTGTTCAGAAGAAGAGCCACTCCCTGTTGTTTGGTAGTCTCCGAGTAGAGGACTGTCCATCCGTTATGGTGGCAGGAGCCAGAGCCGGTCCACCGGACCTCCTAAATACCATAGAGATCCAGGCGGTACCGGTCCAGCTCCCAGTGAGTGTTCGAACATTTCACGTAGCCACACGTAGTTTTTTTAATTGTTTCTGGAGGACCCCCGAGGATAAAGATTCAGTCTCCTGGCTCCGCCAAATGTTGTTTGGCCAGGAGACGTCAGACGCCTGACCCCCCGGGGCCTCCGGTACAAGCTTATTAATAAAAAATTATGTCGTGGTTTAGCGGTAATTAATTGAAGGTGGAGGGGTTTCCAGCCGCTGGCACCCATCCAGAGCCCCCTTTTGGCCGCTGTGGTGGTCACAAATGCCATGAGGGGAAAGGCCAATCGAAATTGGCCCTCCCCCCACAGCACTGCCCACGGAGGAGGTAAGGGGTTGTTTTGCCACGGCACACATACAGGGACGTACAATTTATGCACAACTCTTACAACACTAACTCGCTCTTCGGGGAAAGTCCCCACCTACTATGGAGAATAAAAATAACATCCTATCACATTCACAAAATAAACCGTATGCAAAGCAAGATTACAAGCGTTTCCGCAGTGACAATATCGTACAGTATTTGGCCTAGGACCAATTCAGATATCACTCGCTGATGACTTGGAATCGAACTCAGGTTGCCGGGTTTGTAGTGCAGTGCGCAAACCATGGGAGTTCTTTACACCGGTGTAATTGTCCTCACTTGGTGGAGGCGGTGGTGGCAGTGGTGGTGATGGTGGCAGCGGCACGGCTCACCTGGTGTAAGTGGTTGTAGACATCCAGGCTGATCCGGCCCATGTGGAAGAGCTGCACGATCTTGTTAACCATTTGCACATTCTGCTGCACCACAGCGATGTGTAGCGCCCTGTCAACAAAGTCCTCCAGGAGTCACGTTTGGTACAAGGGATACGGTGGACGAAGAATATATCGTCTTCCACGCGAGATTAATAATCACAAATAAACTAATAAAAATACTCCCAAAATTGAAACAGCCGTACTCTGCTGACACCACAGCAGACCAACAAATCGGCAGAGTGTTTGTGTCTTATGCCCTCAAAATCAAGCATGAATACGTTCACTCGCTTCCATCAGAGGATGTAGGGTACAAAGCTGGCAGTCCGCCACTCTGCCAAATGTATTTAGCGAAGGCTTTAACGCGTGGACTTTCACACAGGTAGAGCAGCAGATACACAAGGGAAAGAAATAAATAAATACGTAAATGGCCCTGGTTAATGCATCTGCAGTATGAACCACTGCGGGTGCATTAACCGGAAAAAAATATACGCGATCTCTGCAAAAAGGATTCAGAATGTAAACCAAAGAAGCATAATCATTGTGTGCAAGCATCACGGCCATAACAATTGGAAAATTACTCTGCAAATTACAGCAATTGGAAAACGCAGGGCAATATTGTCCTCCTACTGCTAAAAACTTAGCAGGGCCCTACTGAAAGAGAGACTCTACAATGCTCACCTGGGTAAACAAGGGTCATTCATAATAATACATCAGAGATCGTGAGCAGGGGAGCATTAATGCTCTAACTTCTCTTCAGCTCCAGCTTCATGCCAGAGCAGAAACACATGAAAAAAGCCACAACGATGCCCATGCATCAGATACAGTACAGTGCAAATATAAAGTCACGATAACGTTGGAGAAATATTTAACAAATACGGGTAACACCGGTTCACGAAGGTCAGTTCGCGTGCAGGCGCTGCGTGGATTGCTGCAGATGTTTCACTTGTCGGTACCACCTGAGGTGGCGTATCGTCAGTGGTTCCTATTCGACGTGTGAATGATGTGATCACTAAGGGCACCGCGGCGTCGAGATGTTAACTACCTCGCCTGGTGTACAGGCAGTCGTGGGTTCGATCCCGATCCCGACCATAACCCCTGCTGTATATTTGAAGTTTGCGGTGTCTCTCTCCCTGTCGTATGGAATTATTTTCCGGGTCCTCCAGTTTTCCCCTCCACATGTAGAATCAACATGCATTTCGAGTATTTGGCTGCTATAAATGTCCACATGATGATAAGCCACTTCGTTGAGCTATCATTTGTGGCCAGGTCGCTTCTGAAAAAGAGCTATTACAGTTCAGTGGACCTTACCTGTTAAAATAAAAATATAGTTTTTATAGTTTTCATTTATTTATAAAAAGTTAAATAATGCACTGCTATTCGCAATATAAATACATCGGTACGACTAAAGTCTTGCTTTCTTAGGCGATACAAATTCCTGGCGCGATTGATTAAAAAGCGTGGAAGTGATTGTATGCACTGTTTGCAAAAGTACATACAGTCACGCGGGGAGTGCATAAGTGCACTAATCCAAAACGGCTTTGATTTCGTTGCCTTATTTGTGGTGAAGGCTGGAAAGTCCCCGACAACTGAAAGAGGAAGTTCTCATTTCTCCGTGATGGCAGCTGGCCCGAGACTCCAATAGGGGGTGCACGCAGGGGACTTTCCCCTACAGTGTCACTTGTCCCAGCCACAATGAACGAACCAGCAGTGGAGGAGACCCTGAGAATATCGCCTGGGAGGGGTGCGGTGTTGCGTTCTTGGGAAGTGCCGCGAAAACCAAAACCGCGATATTCAATACTTAAATCGAACCTAAATAATGGGGATGGGTACTGGACACGGCACACCAAAAATAGACGCATCGCAATTGAAATAAGTACTGTACTGCATGCCACAAAAACGAAACTAATTGTACTAAACATGTAAACACCCGATACAAAAAAACATTCCTGCACGATAGATTGTAGTATAAATACTGAATACTGCACTGATATACAGGATGTGTGTGTGTCCGCGAGTGAGGCGCGGTAGCGAAACGACCGGTTCGCGCACTGCGCTACGAACTCGGCGACCCCAGTTCGATTCCCACCCACGCCCGCCACCAATGATAGCGATTATCTGGATAGGTGCTGGTCCTCCCCTAGGTCGACTCGGCCTCAGATGAGTACCTGGTGTGGTGTTTAAAAAAACATCGCCACTGTGGAGACAAAGGCGGCCGGGGGTAGTGCTGGCCACCCACCCTATCGTGTGCCCTGCCTTTCTTCATAGGCGCTCGGCTAACAGCACTTGCCCCAACAGCCTCTTAAGGCTACACGGGGGATCTTTGTCTTTGTCCGTGAGATGCCAGTACAGCAAAGGTTGAGGTGCCACCGACTGCCTCGCGTCCCTCTTGAAAGGTCAAAACTCCGGTGACCCCCGCGGTAGCTCAATTGGTATACAAAGCGAAGCCGTGAACGATGAACTCGCGATATTCAATAGTCTCCTGTATAACAGACAACATTTGAAGTGCACTTACTTCACACATGGGAATATGCTCACTCGTTGTATCCACAATTTTCTCGTACAATTAACTTTTTAAAGACTGCACAAATATAGTTGTTACGGTATTTCGTGTCCCGTGCGTTTTTACTGTTATCTATTCGAATAGAACCAAGGAACGGAACACGTCCAAGGGACTTTCGACCATGTGGTGGAGTGGTAAAATCGGCTCGTGTGTGCAGGTGCTGGTTAGATGATTGCATCACAGGATCGAGACAGAGAGGTTGCAGTGGCTTGGGGAGGTCGTCATCCAGCAGTGGATTGGCCATGGCTGATGATTTTAGTAGTGTTGCTGTAGCATTATTAATGCTTTTCCAGGAAGCACTTTCAGTTAACATTCCCTGTGGGCAATTATATTTGTGGCGATCAAAACAGTGCACGCCCACGTGTAAATGCGCGAAAAAACTGAGAAGTGGCGTTCCGGTCTCTGCATACCACTCTCAAACAGATGTCCGCCCTTCCCTTCAGCCCCTCTCACCACGACTGCTCACGGAGCAGGCTCACCAAAAAAAACAACACAGTACTTTTACTCGTTTTCTTCCCCACGGAAAAGTTCTCAACTATGTTCGGCCCACGTGATCTTTCATTATTCACTCGTGACCTCGTCACATCGCCACATCTCACGTGGCGAGGTCCTCCACACCTTCAACAAGCTGCCGCTGTCATCCCATGCTCTAGAGCGGTGGTTCTCAACCGGGGGGGGCGGACCCCTGGGGGCACTACGTGGCAATGTCCCAGGGGGTACACGTGAGGTCATTTATGAATGTGACTATATCATACATGAGAGTCATTGGTGAATAATCACTCATGAAACTGCCAATATAAAATAACTACGATAACTTTCAATCCATATGGTAACCTAGAACGATATAAAATGCATTTATTAACTCACTGATCCTAAACAATATGGTTTCTCAGAGAAAGCAGCGACCGAGAGAAAATGCCGTCATGCATGCAGAACGTCCGTTAAATTTTTTGTTATTCGCTTGCAGTTATTGCTAATTTGGTGGATAACCTCAGAAAATGGACAAATGGTTAAAATATTGATCTTCATTATTCATACATTTATTTCTCAGAACCATGTTGGGTTAGACAAGGGGGTACTACTCGGTTGAAACAGAAGAGGCGGCCACAGAAATGTATCTGAAAGCACGTGATGCAGTGACTATCTGTGTTCGATGGTAAGGCAAAAGCCGCTGTGAGGATGAACTTGACCAGACTCAAGTTGCCTTGAGTCTTTGTGTTTATATTAAACATTAATAATTCGCTGGAATGCGTGAATTTCAAAGGCAGTCATTCTCCTTTATTTTTTCTTGGAACATCTTTAATGACGTGTTTGTCTTTTTTTGACAGTCTCTCTACAACGTTATTATCCACTTCCAAATCCTCTGGGATGTTGGAAAAGCTCTTAACTAGCTTGATTTTGTCCACCACCTTCATTCGCCGTTGTGCTCGACTACTAACCTGCTCATTAAATCCGTGAATGGAGTAGTGACTGGAGGCGATTGGGAATCGGAATGCGTGATTTCCATGCAACTCTCCGGATGCGGATTGTTGACCAGGATCTCGACCGGATCACTGCGGCTCTTTGTAGATTGAGGCACTGGGGTCTTAAGGTGAGCGGTCCACAACCGAAGCTGGTGCCGGTGATTGGGAATTGGGGATTCCATATCTTCATCACAGGTGTCAACAGGAAGTAAGATTGTACAGGTGATTAATGCAAGGGGTTATGGGAACGTAAATATCGGTGTTTGTAATGTTTTGTTGTTGTAACTTCCTGACCCGTCTCTACTGGACATAAAACAACATCATAGCTCATCGAATTCCTCCTGCAGTTTAAATAAAGATTCTGATTCTGAAATGAACGGACTGGAAAACCTGTACCTGTGTTACTGCAGAGGTCACAGTGCTGGACCAGTGGGAAGAGACGCTTTCTGGCATTTCAGTGCAGGTACTTGTGAGGTACGTGAGAGATATCATGGCAGGATCAAGCAAGTGACTTGGGATTCAGAGGCAGAAGTCGACAGCGAGCTGTTGAGTGGAAGAGAGGAGGTTGGGCGTGTTGGGGCGTGTGTGCAGGACGGCGGGGGGGAGGCTGTAGAACCGGTGCATGACGAACACACACTGCAGGGCTGCACACTCTCAACTCAACTATTTATATTTTGACAAATAAGGCCCACGACGCTTTATAGCCCTTTTCCAGAAGCAACCTGGCCACAAATGATAGGTCAACAAAGTGGCTTATCACGTGGAAATGTATAGAGCCAAATACTCTAAACGCGTGTCGATTATAAATGTGGAGGGAAAAAATCGGAACACCCGGAGAAAAATCCACACGACCACAGAGAGAGAGAGACATGCAATCTCCTAATATACAGGTGTCAGGGTCGGGATCGAACCCATAACCTCCTGTATACCAGGCAAGGGAGTTAACATCTCACCACCGCGACACCCACTTGATTTTATCTCAGTCCAAGACACTGTTGACAAAAGATTGTCGACCTTGTACAAATCATCCACTTGTCTTCTTTTAAAGCGTTTCAACTATGATTGACAATTATTTCGCTTGTTTACCCAGGAAAGTCTCACCGAATTTCAACTCTTTTTCAGGAGGGCACTGCCAAGTGTTTACAGTTGGGGACGATGTTGCTGCTGCTGCTGCTTTGTGCGATTCCCAATTAAGCCATTTGCAGATAATTTTTTCAACATTGGGATGTTTTAGTTAATACCAGTTACATTGCGTGTGTGTTTAGTTACGGGAGGAAACCGGAGACACAGGAGGAAGCCCGCGCAGAACAGAGGGATAACATTCAAACTCCACACAGAAGGGCCCAAGTCCAAATAAGCTTGAAAGTTTGAATGCATTAGTTCGGTCAGTATGGAAAGGCGAGTCACTTGAACCCTCGAATAGTTATCTGCATCTCATCACATAAAGCGTCAACGCGATATTACTCACTTTCCATCCCTCAACTCCCATAGCAGTCCTCGAGCACTACCAATGCCTGACCTGCAGGATAACCGCTGTAGTTGTAGTCCCAACTCATCAGTCACCAAGGCGACCGGGGAACAAGGCAAAGTCGGCCACCAGCGCAGCGTGCAAAGGGCACAGTAGAATAACGATGGGACAATCAATCGCCTCCACTGTGGTGGCGGCGGCGATGCCGATGAGGATGGTGAAGCAAAGGGAATGCCGCTGCGCAGGAGAGCGTGAGCCTCTGGCAGGACAGGGCTGGACTCCCACTGCTTGAGCAGGGTCACGCGTGGGGTCCGTGGGTCGCATGGAGGGAGGTGGCAGAGATCCGCTAGGTGATTAAGGGGAGCTTTTTGGAAGGAATTAGGAGAGCACCTCCGATTAACATGGTTGGCTACATATGGTGCGAAATAAGTTCAACATAAGTGAATACAAGTGACGAAAGACAAGTGCTGGAAGTGAGAGGAACAGTCGCCACCTCCTTTCATGCGGCTTATGAAGAGCGACTATTAAGCGATTCCGTGCGAAGTGATTTGGCCATTAAATTGTTGTGTCTGCGAGTTGGTGAATTGCAGTACACCCACTGATCCACCCACCACTCTATTCATAATTTTGTATTCGGGGCAGTGTGAAGTAATTCGCTCCACGGTATCCCAATGTAGAACCACAGGGCTTGGACAATTGTTGGCATCAGGTTTTGGCTGCCTTCCCGCTTTTTTGTGGTTTCCCGTGCCTCTAATTAATTCTCTCTCTGGCAGTGAACGAAAACGGTGTGTGCGTTGCATATTCTAAATTGTCCTTATCAATCCTATCTACACCAAAATGCGTCTTCTGGTGTGGCTGCGATGTACGTAACGTGGTGTCACCTTCCGCGGTCATCATCAACTCCGGGTAGCAGTGCCCAATCACATGATTGTGACATCGAGAAACGGTCGGGACGTTATAGTCTGCCTACACACTCACACAGTCACTCACTTACCCAATGACTCGCTCACTCACACACCCACTCACTCATACACTTTACCCACTCGCTTGCTCCCTCATCCACTCACTCAAACACTCGCCGAGTAACTAACACGAATCCACTCACTCACCCATTCATCCACTCACCCATTCACTCACTCACATACTTATCCACTCACTCACCCATTCGCTCACTCACTTGCTCACTCACACACTCATCCACTCAATTATCCACTCACACACTCACTCACTAACACATCTACCGACAATTGCACTAGCCCCCCCACTCACTCTTCCAATCACCTACTCACTCACACACTCTCACCCATTTACACACTCACTCGCTCACTCACACACTCACCCACTTATTTACACACTCACACACAATTGCACTCACTCTCCCACCCACTCACTCTTCCACTCACCTACTCACTCACACACTCACCCATTCACTCGCTCACTCCCACACTAATCCACTCACTCACTGAACTACTCATTCACATACTCACCCACACACTCACTCTCCCACTCACCTACTCGCTCACTTACCCACTTCCTCACACTATCTCTCACACACTCATACATACTCACTTACTCACTCGACCCACCGACTCACTCACACTTTTTTGCGGTGTGCAGCAAATCTTAAACTCGGTGCCAATTACTGTCAGGATTTGTCATTGTCGGCCAGTTCTGCAGTAGCTCCAAGTCCGATTTGTTCTGTGAAGCTGACGAAGAATCAACCTAATGTCTTCGTGACAGCCTATGTACTACAACAAAAGCCCAAATACCGAGCATCCAACGTATATACGTTGAACTTCTTTTGCACCATACATAGCCAACCGCGTTAATCAGAGGTGCTATTAAGAGATGACATTTGTAGAGGGCAGTTTGTTTATCAGATGTCCGCCGCAGTAGGTAAACATTTCGGTAAACGTACGTGTCTCCGTCTTCGTCGGGTTTGGCTGCGATGGCGATGTCCGAGTGGGGGTGTTCGTGCGGAAGTGACGGTGGCCGGGGAGCGGCGAAGCCGGAGGAGGCCAAGAAGACCTTGACTGGCACGAGCGTGGGCACTATGGGCAAACCTGCACACAAACCACGCACTTTTAAATCTTATTATTTACAAGCGTCATTCCCAACGAGACGTAATGATCTGGCCGAATTTACATCACGAAACTTTCCGCCTGCCATCTGTACGGCCAAAACGAAATTAAATTGTCGCGTGGTATACAAGCGTTTAATGCTCCAATGATGATTGTTTCAGCTCAACGGTGAGTTGGAGAACATTTCTCACGGCCAATCTCTAGCAATTAGACGTGTGACATTTTTCTGGATACTATGCCAAGCATCTTCTGGTGGGACCAAACATTCTACGAGATGTCTAGAGGAAGACTACACGCGCTACAGCATCCAACGTTTCATGCACATGTATGCCCATTTTGCCAATCCACTGCTGGATGAGGGCCTCCCAATGCGGTTGCAGGCAGTGGAAGTTGTTTGACCATACTTCAATATGCTGGGAACACATTATAGTACATATATCACTTGTGAGTGAAAACATTTCCAAACTTTTTTTTAAAACAGCATTTACTTTAAGGAGGGAAGTAAACACAGAAGGCACACCTTCCTATCATGCTGTTACTCATGTTTACATGAGCCATCTGATGTGATTGTTGATGTTGGTTCAATCATAATAGCACAATAATAGCATATACTTTATGTGCAATTTAAACAAATGTGTATTCTGTCCTTACGCACGAACTGGTCTTATACAAATGCACATCTTCATACTGACACCTAATGGGTCACTCAAAAAGCCAAGGCAACCTTCTTCACCTATTCCACTTAACGTACTACGGTTGCACATCGGGTTAGATTTTTTTTATCACAGTTGCTGAGTACAGGCCAAAAGGTCCAGAATGCTAAGCGGCCTGAAGCAAACCGTGCTATTACAGCCGTTATATATGGGAGTGAATGCATTTCTTAAATTGAGCAAGATGATTACAAGAAGTTGGCGAATTATACGATGGGAGTGGGTTCCAAAGGCGGTGGTTGTACAAAGCACGAACGAGGCAGAGCAGTAGATCTGGCAGTCAACTTTGAGTGGAAGAATTGAGTGACGTTCATGGGAAGATGAACCATGGCAGTAGCGATAGAAGAAGAATGAGGACTGACTCGGTGAATGCTGGATGATCATTCTGCCTGACTGCTTTGTATGCTGTACACTCAGTGTACAGCAAATCAGCTACAAGACCAAACTCAACATTATAGGAACATGTGTGTTCAATTCAGTACAGCTCAGTATACCTGCGAGACGTGGACATTAAACACTACTTCAAAGGGATAAGATATTTGAACTCGAAATGTATTGCTACAGAAGGATACTGCATCTAAGCTGGACCCAAAGAGTGACCAACGTAGAAGAAAAAGGTTGGACGTACAAGACGACCTGAAGTTGCAGGCAGTTATGACACATTGAACCTATCTACGGGACTTTACCGAAAGACCCAACAATATGAATTCCTGCAGTCACGAAAGCTTTAAGTCAAGATTTATATATAGGATGTACAACAGGACAATTTAAATTGTGCTGTTCGGAAAAATGTAAGGAACCGGGAAGAGAGGAAGACCTCACTGAGAATGGCTTAACGACGACAGTGGAGATTGGTGCCAGAAAGATGTTGCACTACTTGAGAATATTGGCACAAGACAGAGAAAAGTGGAAACAAATTAGGCAGTGTGCAATGAACACCTAAGGGCTATCTGCCCATGGATTGTGATGATGATGACACTCAGTGTGAGCACTGCAGCACAAGCGACTCTGGACGCCGAGGTGGCCACCTACCCGAGTAGCGTGGTGGAGCGCAGCGCAACCCTCCAGCCGGCGTGGCCGGCGTCTTCCTCGGTAAGAGCCTGCGCCAATGTGCCGGCGCGGTGCGGCCCGGCGACAGGGCGGCCGTGCCGCTTGGGCCCGCCGAGCCCCCTTGGCGGTCGGCGACGACGTCCCGTGGGCCCGCAGGCCTCTGGTGGTTGGCGGTCCCCCGGGCTCCGCGCTTGTGTTCGGTGGGGTTTGTTCCGCTCGCATCCCTCAAGTCGTTGTTCGCCAAACGTCTTCTCTTGCGCAGCAGCGGGAGGGCGGCTTTGTGCTGGCGAGAGTCTGGAGCTTCCATCGCGGCCGCCGAAGACGGCTTGCTGCGGATGTCCGCCCCCGGCAGCGTTTGGGTTTGAACGCTGTCAGCGTTACCTCGGGGCGAGTCCGCGGTGCCCGTGCTGGTGGCCCGTAGCCCGTCCGCGCGCAGTGGCGTGGCGTCATCCTCAGGTGACGACGTCCTAATTTGCGTTCCGTCGTGACGAGGTGGATCTTGACACCGCGCCCTCGCTCGCAGCGTCCTTCTCGCACCAACGGCGGCCTTTGATTTTCTCGTTTTGCCGGCTTTGTTCCCGACAGCGGAACCCCCCGTGGAAGGATCTCTGGCATGGGCGTCGTCCTCAGGAGCAGCAGGAGGAGGAGGAGGTGGTTCCGGGGTTTGTTCGCTTGGCACCTCGTCGACCGGTCGTCGTCGTCGCATCTCGCCAGCCCGTCCCGTTTCTCTGCGACGCCCCGAACGTCTTGCTGCCATTGTCCCAAGGAGTCCGAGTCCATCATTCGCGTTCGCCGGGCGCGGTTTGACTATTTTGAACGTCTAACATATTTACATTTCGTTCACAGTCTTTTAAAGACTGCACGCAAATACTTGCAAAGTGTTGGGCCTGGAATAACACAGCAATAGGGTCAGCAAAGGGGATGATGTTCAGCACACAACATAAGCAACGCCGTAATGCTGCAACTACAACATGAGCACACGTAGGCATCGTCAAGATTTTCTAACAAGTGCATTCACTCTAGTTACTCAGCCAATCATCCCTCTGGGATCAATAAACCGAGTGGCACTTTGTAGACAATTCATCCCGTGGATTTTGCACCACTTGCCTCAGGGCTGAGGACAGAATAGGAGCACCGCGTGAATGCTCACGGTGAGCAGCACATCCCTTGGGATTTGTGTTGACGGCACAAGCAAAACATTGCAACGCCGCGCACCGTTTAGCAACGCGTAAATTATCGGAATTTTTTTTTCTCGTGATCGATTCAACGACACTAAATCGGTCGGGTATAAAGGCGGGCGCAGTTGCAGAGTGCGAGGGCACGCTGCCAGGATCGCAGTATGATCATTACCTCCTCGGCACTGCTCCAGTGCCACGAACTGCGGGAACGAATAACTCCACTGTCACCACCTGCACGTCGCGTGGTCCCCGGCAGGAACTTCGACGCGGAGGTCTCGGCGGAGCGAGAAGCTGACGCCGGCTGGCCGATGGCGCTTCAAGGGGAATTCCCCGTCCTCGGTGTTTTTTCTCTCTCCGTCGTCTCCAATGACAGCTCCGCTGGGCCGTCTCTGGGCGGAGCCTGCTGGCTGGGCACTCCCCCCCCCCCCATTGCGGAACAATGCCGAATGATCACCCTCTCTTTGTGTTAATGCTTTGCCTGGTAGGATGGGGATGGTTTAGTTTTGTGTTTGGCTGACTTGTTTACTTTTTCTTGTACTTTGCATTGCTATCCTGTTTGTGTACTGTTTGTTGTTGGAACGTTCTTACCTCGTGTCCCTACTGGACCATCTGTTAAACAGAGCTTCATAGCTCATCGGATTCCTCCAGCAGTGTCAATAAATAGTCTGATTCTGATTGCATCCGATCTGCAGCAGAGCTCGCAAGCTCAGCAGCATTGAGTCTGGAGAGTGCTCGGGGATAGGACAGTGGTTGTGGGTGACCCCCTCCTACCCCTTTCATTTTGAGACAACGAAAATTTGTATTTTATTGATATTTACCAGAGAAAAAACGTTGCGTGTTTATTTATTATCATTATTGTAGGGCCCTATTTAAAAAGGCTGACATTCAGGACCGCGATGGCGTAGATACTGGAATCAGTCTACAACTGCTGTGAACCCCTCTCTATCCACGAGGGTTGACACGCGTGATGCTGGTGGTGGTGGTGAGGAATTCAGGAGTGCGACTCCTGGTGAGACGCGCACGTGTTTCATAACCACGCCGCGGTTATCATTTCAGCACTCTGGGAGTATATCGCGAGCCACAGCACTCCCCATGGTTGCACTCCCGTGATTTTTAATGGCGCTCACGGTCGACTCGTTTAGACAGACATGTAACATGCCAGACAGACATGTAACATGCCAGACAAACATGTAACATGTCAGACAAACATGTCACATGTCAGACAGACATTTAACATGCCAGACAGACATGTAACATGCCAGACAAACATGTAACATGTCAGACAAACACGTCACATGTCAGACAAACATGTAACATGTCAGACGAACATGTCACATGTCAGAGAGACATGTCACATGCCATACAGACATGTAACATGTCAGACAAACATGTCACATGTCAGACAGACATGTAACATGCCAGACAGACATGTAACATGCCAGACAGACATGTCACATGTCAGACAAACTGGTAACATGTCAGACAGACATGTCACATGTCAGACAGACATATCGCATGTCAGACAGACATGTAACATGCCAGACAGACATGTACCATGTCAGACAGACATGTAAGATGTCAGACAGACATGTCACATGTCAGACAGACATGTAACATGTCAGACAGACATGTCACATGTCAGACAGACATGTCACATGCCAGAGAGACATGTAACATGTCAGACAGGCATGTAACATGCCAGGCAGACATGTAACATGTCAGACAAACAGGTAACATGTCAGACAGACATGTCACATGTCAGACAGACATATCACATGTCAGACAGACATATCACATGTCAGACAGACATGTAACATGCCAGACAGACATGTACCATGTCAGACAGACATGTAAGATGTCAGACAGACATGTCACATGTCAGACAGACATGTAACATGTCAGACAGACATGTCACATGTCAGACAGACATGTCACATGCCATACAGACATGTAACATGCCAGACAAACATGTAACATGTCAGACAGACATGTCACATGTCAGACAGACATGTAACATGCCAGACAAACATGTCACATGTCAGACAGACATGTCACATGTCAGACAGACATGTCACATGCCATACAGACATGTAACATGCCAGACAAACATGTCACATGTCAGACAAACATGTCACATGTCAGACAAACGTGTAACATGTCAGACAGACGTGTAACATGTCAGACAGACATGTAACATGTCAGACAAACACGCCACATGTCAGACAAACATGTAACATGTCAGACAAACATGTCACATGTCAGACAGACATGTAACATATCAGACAAACATGTCACATGTCAGACAGACATGTCACATGTCAGAAAAACATGTCACATGCCATACAGACATGTCACATGTCAACAGCTGACCCAAGGAAGCAAAAGTCTGGAACATATCGGATATTAGGAGGAAGCCAAACCACACAAACTAATCTTGCAAAGGCAAACTCCGGGGGGCACCCGTAACCAGCCAAGTGTCAAGAGCCTTTCTCCGGGGTATGGTCCTCGAAATCAACCATCAGTGTCGAGTCTTACAGAGGCAAAGGCTCTGTGTTGCTAAGTGTTGAGTTCTGCGCTGACAGACTCCGAGTATCGCTTGAAAGTTTTATTCTACAGTTTTCCTTGTGTTTGGAGTCGCTTGCAGAGTCAAGGACTGCGAGAAGTTGCACTGTACCAGGATATAATAATTGTGAGAGGCTAAGAGGTGTGCGAAGGCATTTTCATATAATACTGTGATCAGCTAAGACGTGTGAGAAGTTCAGTGGAGATTGGAGTTATCCACTAATATCGAGAATGCATGAAATGTTGTCCAAGCTATAGGCTGGAAAAGTTATGTTGTCCAAGTGACTGATATTCTGATGATAAGAGTTTTGATGAATTTTGGAGAGTGAGCGAGGAGCAGTGATGAGCACAGCAGGAGTGCTCCTGAGGGAGGGGGCACCAAAGATGCTTGAGCGAAGCAAGCTGCTGTTGACAAGGAATGAGGAGCAACGTGGCCACAGACCATTCCGACTGCTGATCGAGCCTGGCGTGCAGATAACCTGCGAACGTGCAGGAGCTAGCGGCTAACCACGAGCGTGCTGACTCGGAAGCCCCGAGCAGCCTCCAGCGTGGGTCGAGCTTGATGCACAAAGAACCGTGCCTGGTGCCAAGGGGGGTGATGTGCTGCCACCTAGCAGACGAGCTGCGAGTGCTACCTGGCGACGTGGCCACAGTGCACCCCTCTGCAGACTGAGTCTGACCCAGCGGTGAGCCACCAGCGTGCCGACTCGACAGCCACTCCAGTTGTGGACGGAGCCTGACGGGCACGCAGCCCGAACGGATCACACGCCGTGTGCCGACACACACCCGCCCACCCAACGCACCCTGCTGGGGACCTGAGGTATTTTCGGTACAAAGGAACGCGGCTATCGCAAGCCTCCCACAGCTCCCGGCACCCCAGAGCCACAGCTATCAGTATTGGACCTCGTGGTGACTGCCCCTCGAACATACACACACACGACGCGCATATCGGTAGGAATAAGGTTGTTCCGCGGTGTGTTTCGCATAGGGTTGCCATCCAAGGTGGTGTGTTAAGTATTAACCGGTCGTTAAGAAGCATTGTTCTGTCCCTTAAGTTGCATGAATACGGTCGTTAGAGGTATTTTAGTATAATCTAGATTTGAAGCTTTCGTGACTGCAGGAATCCATACTCTTTGGTTCCTTCGGTAAAGTCACGTGGGTATATTATTTAAAAGACAATGCAATACTGTCAGAGCATGTTTTTTTAAATATACGTAGGTATATTATACCTACATGACTTTACCGAAAGAACCAAAGAGTATAGTATTTTAGTAATTTGTTTATTTTAATCGCATAATCTTACCAATTACTTCATTGATGTTCTACTAGCCATTTTGGCGTCCTCTGGTCTAACACTGTTTGAGACTCGGCTCTAAAGAAAGCTGTCTCTGGTGTGGACCCATCAGTTTAAAAAACAATTCATATACTGTTAGAGCATGTTTTTTTGCATGTTAACCACAAGTATATGTGGTTAATGCAGACATGATTCCTTGCAAAGGTTTCAGTTTGGTGTTTTAACATCTTAACACCAACTGTTTTATTCCCAGAAAAGGGAAAACCCCTATTCTCATGATAAGTATCTACTTTGCGAATCTATATGCTCGCATTTATACTATTGTTTTGAGATATTTATTTTAATCGCGTAATCTTACCAATTAATTCGTTGATGCCCCTTTTGCCATTGGGCACACATTTCTGTATCATGTTTCCATATGAATATTGCCATTTGTAGGTGTTTCCTGTCATTGTGCATTGCCGCGTTACCATGAGAAATTAGCCTATTGTTCTATTGCCCTGTTTAACAACGTAACCATAAGACTTGACCATCGATGTGTTTATTTGTACGGATCGATGAGGACGTTATTTGCATGAGTACTGGTGTGGTAATTTTGATGCTAAGAGTGTTTGCATATTAGAGTGTTTTTAGATATTAAAGTTGCTTAATACAGAAGAGTCTGAGTGGTTCCTTCCTAAGTTCATGCATAATTATCTTAATTATAAGAACTGTATCCTGTGTCGAGAGCTGAATCCTGAGACCGGACATAATGACAATAAAATCATAATCAGTAAATGTTCAGGCAAGAATCAGTAAATGTTTAAGCGAGAATCATAATCTGTAAAGTTAAAGCGAAAATTATTGTATTGTCACGATTGGTAATACGTCTCATAGACAAGAGCAAGTAACACACACACACGGTAATCATAAATATAATCACTCACACACAATACACCCCCTAGACAACGAAAGAGCCACCAATAATACATATAACAACACACACACATTGGTCAGCATACGAACAAACACATTAATAATACAACAACCGCCATTCGCCACTAAGTGGTGGTGACGTCACCACGACGCTTGTGCCAGGCCATGTGCACCTTGAGGCCACGTGAAGTGTCGAACGCCCCCTGGCAGGAGGTCACGGGGCAGACCCAGGTGCCACGGGTCGACTGACCGAGATGACCGAGATGACGTAATATTTTACACACATTTAATCATACATATAATTGATGACACTTTTACACCTAATGAACATAAATTAACATTAATTCACACACATTTAATTATTAATGTTTTTCCTAATTTGCATAATTTCATAATTTTTCATATTTTTCTTTTTTTCTCATAACAATATATACAACAATTCTTCGCAAGTAATTAACATAGAGCCTCATATCACCATGGACTGATAATTATCGATCTCAGGTTGGTAATGTAAAGTTGCTCTGTTC